TTTCCCTAAACAGCAGTAAATAGCTTTTAAAGACTCTGTGGTTGCAATATAAATCAATGTCACCAGCATGGGGAAAAAAAGAATTTGTGGTTGGCCTATGTCAAACTGGGAAAAGGCAAGTTGAATGAACAACCTAAGCACATTCTCAGAAGTATCTACTAAGCAAGACAAGTACTCCCTTGGGACAGTTACTTAGTGTTCAAACAGAATATACAGTTGTCCAATATCCATTCTCTCCTTTCCAGGTAATGGAATTCCTAACTGAACATATGAGCATCGAAATAAAGACATTTCCTAGCCTTCCTTGCAAATAAATTCTTGCAACTAAATCTAGACAAAGGGATGTTAGCAGGAGTTAGCAAAGGATGTAGCAGTTTACATGGGGGGGAAATCCCTTATCTGACCCTTCAGATACCCAGCTGCCTGGAAATTGTATCTTGCACCATGAAGATGAAGCCCACACCTTTGGGATCACCAAAGTATAAATTAAAGCAGCTGGGGTTCCTGCGGAGTTCACAAGCAGAGTCAGTATACCAATCTCTAACTGCAAAATTCACACTTTTCATAAAAAGAAACTTCTGGTTAAGCAAATGTTATTTGGGGTTTTCCAACACTCTTAATTGAAACTAATCCCACCTCGTGCAATGGTAACAAGAAGAGCTGTCCCATGACACAGCAAAGAAGTCTGGAATATCAAAATGTAGTTTGTAGAGCAAAGGTAATACAATGGAACAAAGATAGTCTTTTCAATAAATGGTGCTGGAACAACTGGACATCCAAACAACTGGACACACACACACACACACACACACACACACACATATAGAACAACTGGACACACACACACACACACATATAGAATCTAGATACAGGCCTTTCACCCTTCACAAAATTTAACTAAAAATGGATCACAGCTGAGACCGGTTTGGTTCAGTGGATAGGGAGCGTAAGCCTGCGGACTGAAAGGTACCGGGTTCGATTCGGGTCAAGGACATGTACCTCGGTTGCAGGTGCGTGCCCAGTAGGGGGTGTGCAAGAGGCAGCTGATCTATGATTCTCTCTCATCGATGTTTCTGTCTATCCCTCTCTCTTCCTCTCTGTAAAAAATCAATAAAATATATATTTTTTTTAAATTAGAGAAAACTGTATGTACGTACAGATTTAAAAAATAAATAAAATAAAAATGGATCACAGACCTAATGTAAAAACCCAAAACTATACAATTCCTAAGAACTAGGGGAAAAACCTAGATGACACAGGATATAGTAATGACTTTTATATACACCACCAAAGGAATGATCCATGTGAGAAATAATAAACTAGACTTCATTAAAATTAAAAACTTTTGCTCTGTGAAAGACTACATCAAGAGAATGAGAAAACAAGCCACAGACTGAGAGAAAATATTTGCAAAGACACACCTGATAAAGAACTATTATCTAAAATGTACAAAGAACTGCCGAAACCGGTTTGGCTCAATGGATAGAGCGTCGGCTTGGGGACTGAAGGGTCCCGGGTTCGATTCCGGTCAAGGGCATGTACCTTGGTTGCGGGCATATCCCCAGTAGGGGGTGTGCAAGAGGCAGCTGATCGATGACTCTCTCTCATCGATGTTTCTAACTCTGTATCTCTCTCCCTTCCTCTCTGTACAAAATCAATAAAATATTAAAAAAATAAAAAAATAAAAAAATAAAAATAAAATGTACAAAGAACTCCTACAATACATACAGTAAGAAGACAAACAACATGATAAAAAAAAAAAATGGGCCTAATATCTTAACAGAGACCTCATCAAAGATATATGAATAACAAATAAGCATATGAAAAGATGCTCACACCATATGTCATCAGGGAAATGCACATTAAAACAACAGTGGGGCACAACTACACTCCTATTTAATATGTCCAAAATCCGGAACACTGAAAACCAAATGCTGACGAGGATGTGGAGGTGGAGCAACAGAAACTCTCATTCACTACGGGTGGGAATGCAAAATGTCATAGCCACTTGAGAAGTTTCTTATAAAATTGGACAGTCTGACCATATAATCCAGCAATTGTGCTCCTTGGTATGCACTCAAACAAACTTGTGGACAAGTTTTTATGTCCACAAAAAACCTGCACATGGATGTTTACAGCAGTTTTATTCAAACTGTTAAATCTTATAAGTAACCAACAAGTCCTACAGAAGATAAATGAATAAACTTATGGTACATCTGGACCACGGAATATTATTCAGCACTAAAAAGAAATGAACTATGTAAGCCATGGGAAGACATGGAGGAAACTTAACTATTCTGTGTGATACTATAATGGTGGGTACATGCCATTAAACATTTGTCCCAAACCACACAATGTACCACACCAAGAGTATACCCTACGGCGAACTATGGACTTTTGGGTGATTATGATGTGTTAATGTAGGTTCATCCATTATAACAAATGTACCACTCAGCGGGGAGGGGGGGGGGGGCGCGGGGTGTTGAAAGGAGTAAGGTTATGTATGTGCGAGGGCAAGGAGTTTATGGGAAATTTCTGCACCATCCATCCTTCAATTCTGCTGTGAAACTAAAACTGCTCGAAAGAAAATTAATTTTTTTAAGGAGGTTTTTCTTTTAAAGTAACATCTAAGACTCCCACTTAAAATAATACACTGGCCCAAGAGGAGATAATTTATAAACTGTCACTCAGGTAAGAAAAAGCAGAACAAATCTAGGAACCAAATCATCATATACTGGGTATGTTCACAACCAAACACAATTGCCAAAATTCATCAAGCTGTACATTATTAAAATGAGTGAACTTTACTGTTTGTAAAGTACCTCAATAAAATTGGGGGATGTAGCCGAGACCGGTTTGGCTCAATGGATAGAGCGTTGACTTGGGGACTGAAGGGTCCCGGGTTCGATTCCCGTCAAGGGCATGTACCTTAATTGCGGGCATATCCCCGGTAGGGGGTGTGCAAGAGGCAGCTGATCGATGACTCTCTCTCATCGATGTTTCTAACTCTCTCTCTCCCTTCCTCTCTGTACAAAATCAATAAAATATATTTTTTTTAAAAATTGGGGGATGTAGTTGAAGGTGTATTTAATTTAAAAGCATAAATAGCACATTTATACTGGATAATAAAATATTTGAGATTAATTCTCATATACTTTATGATTTAAAATCTCATAGGAAATACTTCTTAAAGTGCCCATTTGAAAGTAGTCCCATTTAATGTCAACTTGCACTGACTGCAGTGATTCTAGAATAAGAGAAGTGTGTTAATATCTAAAAACTATGTCTTGCTTTCAGGTGCAATAGAGCTCAAACACACATAATGACGATATCATGCTTTCAAGTTTGTTGACAGCACTTTGCTTAATTATTTGTTTTGCTTATATTTCCATGCTCTCTATTTCATTTTACTTTGCAAGCAGCCTATATCACAGCAAGAAACCCCTTCAAAATGGAAACCTCTCCGACTTCAGAATAGAAATTAGGACAGGCACACTTGTTTATGTTTTACATTACAAAAATTTAAGAACTGCTTTATTTGATCGTGTCATGCTCCATTCACTAAGCAATCTCTCTGACAGGGGCTCCAAGGGGCTCTTTCCACATGAAAGAACATGTTGCCCTACCTGCCACCAATCTGAAAGCCTAAAGCACAAATATTTCAGTCACCATAATAAATCCATTACCACACCCTAATCACTCTTGAGACATTTTATATTTTACTTTAGGCCCGGTGCACAAATTCATGCATGGCTGGGGGCTCTCGGGTTAGCCTGTGAAGATGGGCTCCATTTCATTCCCCTAGCCTCACAGCCCCGCAGCCCTGCCTGGCACCCTGCCTTGGCCTGGCACTGTCCCCTCACCTGCTCCACACCATCCTTCCTGCTGGGCGACAGATCAGGGCCAGGGCCTCACCCAGCCACCTTAGCACCTGGGAGCCAAGGGGTGGCCCTGTCTCTTACCCCGCCTTAATCCCCTTTCCCCCCTTCTGCCCCCCCACCCTACCCCTGTGGTCACCATCAATGGTCAGTGGGGTGATCAGCAGGGCGATCAGGCCCCCACTCGCACCTGCCTTGGCCTGCTCCACCATCCAGCCATGGTCCTGCTCTCATGGGGGCCCATGGTGGCCGGCAGCGCTGCATCACCAACGCCCGCCATGTTCTGTGCCAGCCCTGTTGGTCGAACTCCCGGTCTCCCAGTCGAACGACTGCCGCAGGGGACAATTTGCGTATTAGGCTTTTATTATATAGGATAGTTAATTAAAGGTATTAAAATAGAAGGAAAAATAATAAAAGAAGTAGACTGAACATTCAAGTTGCCAGTGTATAGATTTATATGATAAACCCCACCTGTATTTCCTATCACTGCCTTATTTGCAAATAAATGATTCATTTAAATTTTAAACATTACAAAACTCAAACTTTGCTTTCAAATTTAGCCACTTTATAACAGACACCCTTTTATCTAGCAGCTTCCAGTATTCCATTTAAAATTACTTCCTTCTCCAATAAAGACTTAGCCATCCAATCCCTGATCTCCCAAAAATCTAATCAAATTTATAATGAGGCTTTTAAAACTATTTCCTAAAGTATCCTACTACATGGCGTCGGTAGCTAGGTAGATATTCTACATAGCCAGCCAACACCAAAATCAAATTTAAATTACTCCATATACATTTAAATTCAATACTGTGTGTCCCCCAACAGCTTCAAGCAAATAGCTAATCTGTTTCAACTCAATGTTTTAACTCTGTTGCTTCTTCCTCTGAGTTTAAGCAAAACAAACAATATAAGTAACTCAAGTTTCAACATAGTATCTATATAGAAAACCAAATATAAAATACAACTAAACAAAAACCTTGTTTTGCAATATATTAATATTCCAGCTACCTAGACTCTTTCCTTCAATTTAAATTTTAATTACCTCATGAGTTCCCATTTCTACAACAGGACTCAAAATATTTGTAAGATGAAATTGAAAAAAGCCCAACATTCACCTACCCAACATTTGGCAATCCAACAATACCAATTTTCAAAGAGGTTCCAAATCTTCCAATGATTGGGAGTGGTTTAATTCCATCACCTCCCTTTTTCGGGGGCATCTGAAATATCAAAGCAAATATATAAACAACACTCATTACCATCCCCATCAACCAAGAATACATTTCATCATACAAAATATGTTACTGAATAACAGATTAAGAATACAGCATACTGTGTATATCAATCAAAAACTGACACAGTTAAATCCACTTTATTTTTCAACAACAAACTTCAGGTTTCATAAACAACCTTGATTTTGATAGTTGTCAAAGCAATTGCTCCTGATAAGTTCTGGAAAGACTGGCCTAAAAAATATGTGGCGTCGTAAGTCAAAAGTAAATTTAACTGCATCTAGACTCTTCAGAAACACTTTTTATTTCTTAACGTAAGGTCAAACGAATGAAGACATTAGGAAGCAGGAGCACAGACAAGAAAGTCGAAGAAAATCTATTCTAAAACTACCCGTAACCAAGTCACATACACCAAACCATCTCTTTTATTTGGAATTTGTTCTTTCCCATCCCCCCCCCCCCACCTCCCTCCAAAGCACTATTTTTCACGTGGATGAACCACGCCAGTGTCAAGGTCTTCCCAACCAAGTCTCTCCCAACTCTGGCACTGAGGATAGACGACTTCATCATCAAGCAACCTCCGGAATCCACAACTCTAATCTCTAGCCGTAAATGAATCCATCAACCCTTTTTTATTTACAAGTCGAAACTTGATCAGTCCCCGTGCCTCTGCTCCTCCAAGCTCCTCCGTGCAGAATGAACCTAACTTTACCTACTGCAGACGGAACTCAGGAGGACTGCCAGCCTCCCGTGGGAGAAGCTGGGATCTAAAACTGTCCTGCCTTCTGGTCCAGCTAGCCCTCCTGGGGCCATGCTGAGGCCCCGCTCAGGAAGTGATATCCCAGCCTCAGATCCCTGACGCCGGGAGCCAGGGATCTCCCTTCTCAGGTCTAGATTCACACCTGTTCCCGGCCAGACCCCAGGCCCCCGCAGCACAGCTGCCAGAGCAGCGCCCCGCCAGCCCTCCGGCCGCCTCCTACCGAGGGATGGCCGGCCGCCCCGCCAGAGCGGGCCGCTCCCCAACATGTGCCCGCTCGGCACGGGGCCACTGCCGTCCGAGGCTGACCCCAGAGCGCGCGGCGCGCGGCGTGGGCCCGCTGGCGACGCGCGGCCTAGTCTGAGGGCGTCTCATTCATCCGCACGCCCCACGCCGCCGGCCGCCCTCCCTCCGTCCCGGCCGCCTGGCCCTGGCCTGACGCCGGCCTCAGAGCAACAGACCAGGGCGCCGAAGCCGCGGCGGGGAGCGCGCTCCTAGCCTCCCTGCGGGGCTCACCGTGCTTGGGGAAAAGCGATGACACGGGGTCCCAGAGGTGGCGGCAGACGGGTCCCACCGGCAGCGGGAGGCGGGGAGGAAGGAGGAGACACGCAAGCCAGGCCCCTCCGCCCGGAGGCACGCACGACGGCAGCGGCGGCGGCGGCGGCGGCGGCGGCGGCAGAACCGGTGGGCGGGGCTCCGGGCTGCACCTGCGCGTCAGCCACGCGTCCAGCCACGCCCCGCCCCGCGCACCCGCTCGCCCCTCTCATTGGCCCGATCGGCCGGGAGGCGGGAGTAGAGTGGGAGGAGCCGTGTGACGCGGAAGTGGGCGGGAGCATGAGCCAGAGCCGCCGCCCACCTCACCTCCGAGCTTAGGGCTTCCGCCCTCTCTGCACCTCGGGCTTCTCTGCCCGGTTCTCGGCTTCCTTCCCGGTGGACGCCCCGCGTAGCCGGCACACGCCCGTTCGCCGCTGGCCGCTGGCCGCTGCGTACTTCACCCGACGAACCTCGAGGCGCCCTCGCCCTCGCCGCCCGCCCAGAGACGGGCCGCCGGAGGTCTGGGGAGCCGCCACGCCATCCAGGCTTCGGCCGCCTACCGAGTTCTCGGACACCACTTCCCCAGCCCGCTTCCTTTTCCTGTAACTATCTGTAGTCGGTACAGAGGGTGAGAAGCTTTAAACTTTCTTTAAAAAGGGAGTGCCCGCCCGGGTTGGCTCAGTTGGTTGAGCATTGTCCGGTGCACGGGAAAGTTGCCAGTTCGATCCGGTCAGGGCACATGTGTGGGTTCCGGTTGGGGCAGCCTGGAGGGCAGCTGACCCATGTTTCTCTCACACCGATGTTGCTCTCCCTTCCTTCCTCTCTCTAAGCATGTCCTCTCGTGAGTATTTAGGGGGGGGTGGGGGGGAAGGAGTAGAGAAAGCTTATGATCTTATTATCTAAGGGCTCCTTCATCACCTTATCGTTCAGGCATATTTCCCGGATGGAACCCCAAAATGAGTTTAATAGAACCAACCCCTACACACCACTCCCTTTCTCTTTGGATAGTTAAGACCAGGGCCTTCAGAATTTGGGAAACATAGTTTCCAGTCTGGATTCCACTACCCATTAGCTGTGTTGCCAAGTTTCTCAACTTTGTATCACCTGGATAAAATGAGGCCGATGAGATTCACCCCACGAGATTACTGTGAGGACAATGTGTTTGTAGTTACTAAGCTACTATCCCCCAAGGATTAGGTCAGGGGTCGGCAACCTTTAAGACATAAAGAGCCACTTGGACCCGTTTTCAAAGGAAAAAAAAAACACCTTGGAGCCGCAAAACCATTGCGACATGCTACAGCTCCCCGCCCCGCCCTGCTATTGAGAGGGCAGGGCGGGGTGAGGGGGCAGGCGGGGCGAGAGGGCAGGTGGGGGCGGGTCCAGCTCCAGGTAACTGGACCCTAGGTCTAACCCAACCAATCAGGTCAGCCAAGGTAGCAGCACCACCCTCCCTATAAAACCCATTGATATGTTAAGTTCTTCCTCTTTCTCGCCCATGCCCTCGTTGGTGTAGGTGAGACTGGGCTCGGACTAGTCCGAAATAAATACAGACTCTCTGCAATTGCATCGGATTCGGCTCCCTGGTAGTCTTTGGGGTTTATGACACTTGGGCATAACACTATCTGCCCTGCTAGTGTCGGACCTGCTGGGGGCCGCAGCAAAGGTTCAAAAGAGCCGCATGCGGCTCCGGAGCCGCAGGTTGCCGACCCCGGGATTAGGTCATAAATAGTAAGAAGACCTGTTGTTAACATGAGGATTTCATCCCATCTCACCCACACCTGACTACACCATGAGCTCCATCGGTAGAAGGAATTCTTTCATTTAGTTCCTGACCCTTGAACAATGCAGGGGTTGGAGCGCTGACCCCCGTGCATTGAAAATCCATGTACAACTTGGACTTCCCCAAAACTTAACTACTACTGGCCTACTGTTGACCAGGAACCTTACCAATAACATAATCAACTAACACATATTTTGTGTGTTATATGAATTATATACTTGTTCTTACAGTACAGTAAACTAAAAAAAATTTTTTGAAAAAATACATTTACAGTATTTATCGAAAAAAGAAATGTGTACATAAGTGAACCCGAACAATTCAAATACATGTGGTTCAAAGGCCAACCGTATTATACACTTGAAAGTTGCTAAAAGACTGCACCTCAAATGTTCTCATTAGAACAAAGAAATTGTGAGTTTGTGTAAGGTGGTGGACCTGTTAGCTAACACCATGGTGGTAATCATATTGCAGTATATGTTTATCAAATCAACACATTGTGCCAAGACTGGTTTGGCTCAATGGATAGAGCATCGGCTTGGGGACTGAAAGGACCCAGGTTCGATTCCGGTCAAGGGCATGTACCTTGGTTGCGGGCAAATCCCCAGTAGGGGGTGTGCAAGAGGCAGCTAATCAATGACTCTCTCTCATTGATGTTTCTAGCTCTCTATCTCTCTCCCTTTCTCTCTGTACAAAGTCAATAAAATATATTTTAAAAAAAAAATCAACACATTGTGCGATATGTTAGTTGTGTTATATGTTAGTTATATGTTATATGTTAGTTATTATGTTATATGTTAGTTATATCTCAACTTAAAAAAAAATAAGTGCCCAATATAGTGTTATTAAATAACATTTTTTTCTCTGTTACCTGTGTCAGAATTTCTTTCCCTACACCAAGCACTTCAGATTCACAGCCCGCCCATGGGCCTCATGCAGACCACAATGAATATTTTTGTGGCCCAGCCAATATAACGGTATGTAAGAAATGTTTTAATAAAAATTTTGTAACTCAATTTTTATAATATCCTGTTATATATAATTGTTAATGATGAACTATAACATTCGCTAATAACTGGTTTCTATAATCGTGTTGCATTAATTTCCCTTACGCACCTCATGCACAGGCCCACCATTTCTCTCCACTAATACTAGCAGCGAACATTTTAGCAGCCAATTGCCACATCATTGGTCTTGGATTGACTTGTTTGGTATGTACAGCAGGAAATATTTCGCTTTTTGAGAACAAGAAAAATAGGTTTATTCGTGTTACACTTATTAATATGTGCAGTTATTCAGTGTCTGGTAAGTTAATGTTTAAGAAAAAATATTAATTTTTATTAAAATGTTCTATTACTTTATGTTAACGATGACTCATTTATTTCAGCCCTTTGTATTCAGCATGTCTCTATTGAAATAAACCTACATTTCTATGAAAATTGAAGCTTTTATTTTTTTGTGGCCCACATAAACTTAAACCTTGTTTATTTGGCCTGTGTTAGCCTTTGAGTTTGACATGCTTGCTCTACACTAAACTTTTTATCATATCAGGTGTCCAGAAAATAATTCCATGGATTTAGAATATTCTATTCTTCACTTCTTGTTGTTCATATAAAATTATTTTCATGCCAGGCATCACTCTAGGCTTTGGAGCAGTGAAGAACGAGATAAACATGGTCCTTGCCCTCAAGGAGCTTGCAATCTAGGCGGGTAGAAAAACAAATAATCACACAAATAACTATCTAAGAACCTGTTAAAAAACCTATAGGCTTTTAAAATAAAATACTGTGGTTACAATTTGAAGATTTAAAATAAACCACCTTGATTTTCACTTACTGTCAGGACTTCTGGCATTATGTACCAGGCAGTGCTTAATCATCTCCTTTCCCTGTTCCATTACCAGCAGTAACCAAACCCTGTCAGGCATTAGCAAAGCAGATTTTCAGTTTCCATTTTCCTACTTGACAGATCATGGTTTTGAATCTTTGAAGTTGGACCGTAAGTTAACTGTGAAGTAAAACATGTTTAATCAACTTCTCTATTCTGGAATTGCTCACGGTGTTTGAAAGAATGCTGATTGATTGAAGAGTCCATTCATTGAAGAAACTACTGGAGTTTTGTTATCTAATCTCTATTGTAATTCATGAATAAAGATTTAGAACTTTTTTTTTATCACCATCCACCTCCACTCATCCCTCTCCCCTAGAAATTTCTAAAATGAAGATTTTATATGCTGTTTTCTCAGAGGCAACATAAAAAGGCATATGCTAATCTAGAAAAATAAATTTATTATTAAAGTATTAGCTAGGATGCTTTTAACTGTGAGTAACAGAAATTTTGATTCAATGGAACTGTATCCTGTGTAACAGAAAGTCTGGAGAGGGAGAACTTCAGCATTGAGAGATTCACTAGCTTAACACAACTTTCAAGAATCCTGTGTCTTTCTATATCAAGGCTCTGTTTCCTCCAGTTTCATCTTCAGGCTAATAGCAAGAAGAG